CTGTAAAAAGTTAATCTTGAACAAGTGGCTGGTTACAAGTTATATAGCTTATACACCTCTGGAACATAATGCTTTGTCTGCATTAATTGTACCAGGATTTTTTATTTTTTTTCCTTAAGTTTGGTTATTCGATGTCATTTCCGTTCTCCCTTTGCAATTACTGATGGTATCTTCTGAAGCCAGGATGGGAGAAGAGGCTGCTCAGGAGTGCAGCCAAAACCCAGTGTGAGAGGGGAAGGGCTGAAATCAGGATGCTAGAAGCACAAGTTTGCAAAGAGACGGGGGGAGGACCACAGAGAGAATAGGAGAAAGTTTGGGGTTGTTAGTAGCTCTGAATTTCTCAGATATGTCAGAGTTTATGACAAAGAGAAACAAGATGGTCCTGCAGGACCATCTTCAAGACTGCTGATGAGGCTCTTGACACTACATCTACCCATTCCTTATTCAACTCCTGTGAACAAGTCTAACGTGTTGAACTTGCTGCTGGTGTATAGTGATAGTCACATTGCAGGTACAGTGAATTTAGTGTCCCTGAGAGGAAGGATCTGCATACACCTGCAGTAGGTTTAAGGCATCTGGTGCTGAGCTAGTGGCTGTGTGTCTGCAAGTCTGCTCAATCTAGTTTTAAATGGGCAGCGGGAGTACAACGGAGTTGGTGGACTGGCCTCCCTCTTCTGTTAGCGTGCTGTTAGATTGGTTTTACTGTAACATGAAACTGCACCGTGAGTCAGGAATCTCTGAGTGCTAATAATGGCTCTGATACCAAGTCCACCTGTGGCAGCAGTCAGCTTGCTCAGCTGCAGGGTTGGTATAGGTGAAGTGTGCTTAGTAGTAACTAGGTTCTGGAGAGCACTCCAACGTTCAATTAGATAATGTTTACCAAGTATTAATTATTTTAATTTTCTAAGTGCTGATTAAAAATGCCTGAATGTTGAATCATCATGTTTTAATTGTGTACTGTCACTTGTCCCAAAGGTGACATTCATGCAATAAACAACAGGGCAAGGTTTGTTATCCAAAAATCAAGAACGCTCAGCATGTGGCCTCAGTATCTTACTGAAGGTAAAACTTGTTATCACGATGCAGTTATTTGTTGTTGAGGAGAGATGCTCTGATTTGGAAGAGCTGTCTTCTCTCCCATGGATACAATCAGCTATGATTCAGTTCTGCATATATATAATACATGTGTTCACCCTGTCAAGAAGCAACATCTGACTGGACATGTCTTTATTATTTATTCTGTGTTACGGTTTTATTGCTGTAATAGCCACTTGCAGAGATAGCAGTAGGAATTCAGAAGACCCCAATAGTAACCACCTTGAAAAAGAGCAGTACCTCTAGCTGCGGCCACGTAACTGACTGCTAGCAGTCCCAATTGACAGCTGCATTCCTCCTGATATTATATCCTCCTCATTATATTCTCTAAAGAGAGTACCAATAGCAGTTGAATTTGTATTTGGATAATTGGAAAGTTAGCTGTGCACTGACCCCTCATTTGATTTTGTTCTTTGTGTATATCTATGTGAAATTCAGAATTTAGTTCCACAGAGGATGGAAGGGTGTAAAAGCATCTAGATGTTCACAGCAACTACCCAGGCACAATGTACACACAGACAATTCCTGTTTCATGGTGCATCAATTTTCAAATCTTTAACTGTATGGGAACTGCTGCATCACGGCCTGCACCTCTGATTGACCACCTGAGGCGAGCACTGTGTCAGCCAGAGGAGCACAGCTGAAGGCAATTCGCCTGTGCTGCCAGAAGGGGTGGAGCCTGGCTGCACCTCTCCTAGAGCCATTTAAGAGCTGACTGCCACCTGCTGTAGTGTTTCTTCTGGGGATTCTGCCTGTGGGAGTTTGTAGTGAGCTGTGGTTGTTGGTAAATGTTCTCTTTGTTTTGCTTTTGTAATCTGCTTTTTCAAACTCTTTTGTTTCTGTTGTAATTATAACATCTTTCTATTCATTGTTTGTATGCTGGCAATCTAAGAAGTGAACTTTAGGAGCCTCTGGATTTCTTCTTTTTTTTTCTCCAGTGTAGAATGTTTGAAGTAAGTGTCCCAGATTTTTAAGTCAGTGTTAACTGTGTTATGTTTAGGATGGGTAAGGCTATATGCTTAAATGCAGAGAATCAAACTAAGCTATGCAAAAAAAACCCTTTAATTTGTGTGGTTCTTCAGTTATTTTTCTTGTGGCAGTGCCTATTTAGCATGTATGTATTTCCAATACAGATGCAATTTAAGTGTGTTCTTATCAAAATGTGGTGTTACGTAGGAATTCATATGCAGTGGTACATACTATCTCCAAGAAAAAGAAACATAGTGCTGAAGTTTTTTTCCAAATACAGATTGCTCTTAAAAAAAAAAAAAAAAAAAAAGTTTTGCATATATAAAAAGAACTTGCTTTGATAAATGAGATGTTTGATGAAGTTCAGATTCCTGTTGAGGAAATGGCTGCTTATAGAAATAGAGTTATACATCAGCCTAGTTATATGCTAAAATAATAAAAGTAGACCGGTTGCAAGGTTATTTGTGACTCAGAAATCAAATAGAATATGGGCTGTGGAAGTCAGCTGTGATGCTATGGCAGAGGACAATGCATTCTTTATTGCATCTGCCCCCGAAGATGTGTCAAATATTACACCATTCTGTAGAAAGATTCACTAGGTGAAGGAAAATATGAAGCATTGTACTTTACTGTGTATTATACACAAATGCCCTAACAGTTTTCTCACAGTGGTATTTCCCTAATTTTCACTGTTGTGTGTGCACCCAAATATGTCTTCTAACTTAAAAGAATATGACAACATACTTCATTTTTAGCAGCAGCAGGTTTAGCTTTAAGGTAGAGTGCTGTTTTTATCAGGTTTTAATGAGCCACTAGACAGAACCAATACTGAAATTCTTAGAGACATTGGCTGACACTTACAATGTCTTCTGCTTAATGGAGGAGCAAATTAATCGTAAATCTCATGTTTTTATTGCAGTTTCTTGAACGAGGAATGGAAACCACCTTTGAAACGTAAGGGTTTCTGCTGTTTCCTTTTCTTTCTTATCCATGTGTATAAAGGGTATAACATAATGTTATTTGTCCAAGAATACGTGCTTAGTAAATATCAAAGGTATTTGTGTTCTTTAGGATATATACTTTACAGGTAACATTTTAAGGAATAACTGAGAAATAACCAAATACAGATTATCACGAAAAAGAAACTTGTGTGGCGAAACGAGGAAAAAAAGTAGTAAGTTAAGTTTCATGAAACAAGAAGTCTATCCCTGATGTTGTAAGCCCATTGGCTTTATTGAGGTATGCTTGAAAATAGGTGCTTCATCTTGTTTGAGCCTGAGAATTTGCTGCTATTGGAAGATATATATACTTTCTACAAGGAATGAAGCATCTCTGCTTACATTTGGTAGTTTCTCACGTACGGTTGTGAGACTTCTACTAACTCAGTGTTTTGGCCCGTGAAAAAAATCCTTGGCTCTGAAGTAACAACAACAGGAAATATTTCCGTAATTCCTTGGACATGTGGCACAAATACATCACATTATTTTCCTGGGGGACTACTGTGCTGTTCAAAGTGGTCAGCATTGCCTGTGAGTTGTCAGATCTACTGACAGGTGCAGGTGACTCCTAAGTCATTTACAGTTTGCTGCACCTTGGTTTGTGTTTTATTTTTCAGCTTGTTTGGCCTTGTGTTTGCTCCAGCATGTAAGATCTGTGCACAGTTTTTTAACTCGAACTGAGCTCCTGGTGCTCTATTTTATGTAAATGCATATCTAATATGAGTAGTAAATATATATTTATTTACATACGTATATATATATATATATATAGAATAGAGGGCCACTTCATAACCAAATGCCTTCTTGTTCTTTTTTTAAGACTTATTTTCTTGCCCCATACGTGTAGTCAGAATTTTCTCTCACTTCTGTACTACTGTCATTATTACCAGCATTCGAACATTTCATGGACTGTATGACTTTGTTTGAAATATTTTGCTGAAGACTAAGCATTGTTTATTTCTGGCTCTGAGAGCTTTATCTCAAGTAATGATTGTGA